TTTCATAGATTCCACATCAGTCTTTGTGGATTTCCAGTAAGAGAAACGGTTGTTTCAGAATGGGTCTGTGTGGAATTTTTTGAGGTGGCACTGAGCCTATAAAAAATGGTGTCCTAGACATGCTTCCATTTAACTCTCTCAAACAAGCAGTTCAAAAAAGTTGTTTCCCTTCAGATTTAAATCTATAAAATGTATGTACATCAGATAGAATGAATCACTCGTGTTTTTCATTATCGCATCCCACTCCAGTCTTCTTGCCACCCTGCACACTGGCTTCTGATCTCAGTGTCAGTCATAAGAACAACATTGTCTATCACACTTGTATGTGAGTGCCTTAATGGGGTGAAGGAATCCAGACCAGTCGTGGACCATAATCCAGTCTCTCTATGGTAGCAATTATTCACTTGAAAATCTTAGAATCTGTGCATTCAGCTATGGATGTATACTTAATCTTTTTTGCAAGTGCATTATTATAATGCAAATATTGGATTTTGCTACACATTCCAGTAGTTCTCATAGACTTCGAAATTGCTGTAGTTGCATCAGTGGAAAATCCACTCAGTGGGGCTACAAACTTTTATATTCAGGTCACATATTTAAGATGGTAGTGAGAAAGGTATAAGTAAATATAAGGGATTATTTGAAAATTATATCCCATGGAAATTAGAGCTTTTAATTATAAATTGATGGCTAATATTAGGTAGGAAATATAAGATACTCTTATAAATTCTGTAAGCTCTGTTTTCTTCCTTGGGCAAGACGACTGGTTTTAGAACACCATGATCTTACTTTTTTCACTATGCTTTGTTGTGTTGACAGTAAAGCAATTTGCATAGCCATTTTGCCTCATGGAAAACACTGGGTTTTAGAAGAGCATATTCCCCGGTGCTTATGGAAATGCTGAAATGGAGTCTTTCCGCCCTGAGGATTTCCAGTCTATGATCAGATAAACTCAAGATGAGTCCTGATGTTACTGGGGAAGCAACAGAAAGCAGAGAGAGGTGTTGCTTGATTTCTGGAGAGGAAATGGGTTTTCCTATGTAGAGCATCACTATTTTCTTCAGTCAGAAATCTCATAATTAAAAAGCATCCAAGAAGTAAGAAGTCTACTCTGTTCCATTCAAGTAGGATTTTATTTAATGCAGAGCTGAGCATCCTTTTGGGTGCAGTAGTCAATCTGAGGAATGTAAAAATTTCTGGACTACATTTTTTTTTCTTGAATCATATATCTAAACTGGGAAAGGCCATATGGTCAACTAAGAGTGCTTAAGCATTATTTTTTTCCCCTCACCAAGTGTCTTTTTGGGTTTTTTTGGAGGTGAGGAAAACAAAAGTTTTCCAAGCTACAGGTAGCATGCATTGCAGTGACTGATTGTAATGCACATTTTAATGCATCGTTGAGTAAGACACTGGCAACTGGCTTATTTATCTCTGTTTGACTGACCTTGTAAGCTACTTAGTTGTGAAATGTGTTTTTTGTTATAGTATTCTTAACTTAGTATTCTTTAAAATGAGATTTTTTTTTTCAGTGTCAACAATCTTGAATCATAAAAGAAGTTCACAGTCAGCTTACTTTAAGATACTTTATTTTCATCGGTCTCTTTTTCTCTCCATAGTGGCAGCCATTGCAAGAGTTTTAATTTTATTAAGAAAATGGTTCACAATCATGAGTTAATCCATCCCCTTTCCAAACTGGACCAGAGTTCACAGTTGCTGGCCACGCACACTCCCATAGGACCTTCATCTGTGAACCGTGTAACTCCCTTTGGCCTTATTTGTACCCAGTTTCCCCACATAAAAGGTGCAAGGGTTCCTAAAGTTAGGTCCCACAAGGCAGGCCTTGCTTGGGCAAGTGAGGTGGAATAGTGGCTACTTGATACTGATCTAGGAGAGGGTCAGGGAGTCACTTCTCCAGCATCAACTCTAGCCTATATTGTGATTTCTACTTGTAACTATAGTATGTACTCATTGTAAAATGCTTAAGCATTACATGAATGTAGAAGGTAGAAGGGCAGTGGCTAGAATCTTTAGTAATCTTACCCTCAGCAATAGTCAGTAAATAGTTTGGTGTGAATTCTAAATTTTTTAATGTGGATACTGAAATGTTACTGTTTGCCAACAATACTATACATGTATAGTATTTTTTTTTTCTTCCATGGGGTAATGGGTCTTGCATTCTTAGAGCCCTGTGAATGGCCTCCTTCTAGATATCTGTTATTCAGCCACAATGGGAGCTAGGTGAGAGGAGCCCTGTAACCAGGGGAAGAGGCAAGGGACTAAAGTGTGGTGGGTAGGAACTGGGCATGACCCATGTCCTATGATAGGTATTTTTACATTCTGTATCTCTTTTAACCCTTTGCAATTATCCTTCGTGGTTAACTGTGTATAGATGAAGAGAGACAGAGTCCCAGGTCCACAAGATTTAAGGAGCCAAGCTGAGATTCAAGCCCAGATCAGTGTGGCTCAGATTCGGGGCTTTTTCGTTCTGATTGCAGAATGAAGAGCGCTCTGCCTCTGTCCATTCACACTGACCTCCTTGCTGTTCCCCCTGCCTCAGCGCCTTAACACTCACTAGTGGTTCTCTCTCCTGGAATGCCCCTTCCCACAGATATCTGCTTTGTTTGCTCCCTCACCTCCTTTTGGCTTTGCTCAAAGTCTGACTACTTCTTTAAAACTAAGCACTCTCCCAAAAGCATTCTTAGCCCTCCTCCCTGCTTTGTTTTCATTCATAGTCCCTCTGCTAGTTTATTTTACTAGTTTATTTACCTTATGAATTGGTTGTTTTGTTTATTGTCCATCTCCCCCAGGGAATGAATGCTCCAGAGCCCAGGGATTTTGTCTATTTTGCTCACTCCCCGAACCCTGAAGTTGTGCAAAAGAACTGAAAAGTCACTGTGACATCCTTGAATCTCTCTAGCCTCCTACTCTCCTTGTTTTTGTTAGCCCTTAAGCTTCCCCATAGTGAGCAGTGAAACTCTAAAATGCAGAGACTCTATGTGTGTGTTTGGAGGAATAGCAAGGGAAGTAGAGAAGAATCAGGAGGGATCTTGTCTTAAATGGGTGTCAGGGAGAGAGAAACCTCCCAGGTAGACAAAGGAAGATGGAAAGAAAGTCACCTGAGGGCTGGGATGTGTGACAAGGCAGCAAAAAGTACATGGGGAGATGGCCAGGGATGAAGAGGAGACCTGTTCAGGTTCCCCTCTATTTGGTGTACATAATGTTTTTTGAAGACTTCCAAAGAAGACACCAGATTCCACCAACTTTCCTAGTGGCCTAAGTTACTAGAAAGGAAAAAGAATCTATGGACATTCACACAGGTAGGCTAATCACTGCACTACCAGCATCAAACTGTTGCACTTTTTAAAGATTAAATACCTGTTGGTAACTTTCCTGTTTAAGCCAGAGTGTGAGAGTTCATTGCCAAAGCACTTTGCTCGCGTGTCTGACTTTTGGCAGGAAGCATGTACCAACAGCATCACAGCCTGAGATTCTTTTGGCCCAAGCAGTCCCAGACTCCTGGTTACCTTTCATACATCTTTTGTTTGCAGTAGTTCTTAGGCCCGAGCAAAATGATGGGTATTGGGGGGAATAATTCAGACTTATAACACTTTGGAATTGGGTACACTGGGATGCTGGAGGAAGTTCATGGTTATGGGATAAAGTCAGTGAAACTGCTTCTCAGCCACAGAGAGCCCTCCTTCTCCTCCTCAGTGGCTTTAATTGCTGCCCTAGGCAGTCTGAATTACCTGCCAGTAGAGAATTCCCCTTCAAAAAAAATGTAGCCTCCCTAAAACTGCTTTTGATTTGTCATAAAAAGTACTCAGTAGCTAGAACAGGGGTTGATAACTCAGGTTCCCACAGCTCATTAAAACAAAGAATTTTAATAAGTATTCTGCCCTTTACAGCCCAGGTTTTTGGAAGTCCCGGCTGCAATCAGGCAGCTGTTCTCTGGATTTCCATCTAAAACCGTCACACACACCAAGAGAGAGTTGCTTTTGGCTGCTCTCTCTTGGCTCAAAACAGATCTGAAATGAGTTCTTTCAGCTGTGATGCCCTCATGGTCTCCTACCTTAGTTACCAAACTGCCATCCCCTAGGGCCCAGCCAGTGCAGTATATAAAGTCAAGAAGTCAAGTAACCTTTCTCCATAACAATGTCCCTTCAAACAGTTAAATCTTTGAATTGTACCTCAATTTGATGCAGTGTTTTTAATAAACAATTTCTGTGACACTTGCTAATTCTCCTTTAACCATGCCTACTGCAGTTTGTTAGTCTCGCCCTTTAAAACAAAAGAACAGGGTGAAATACATCGTAGTCCCTCAAAGAAAGTGTTCCACTGTTTGGGGGCATAGTCTCAAAAGAAAAGGTTGGGAATCTGTCTCCCATCTCTCTCTGTCCTTTCATTGTCAGTTTCTTTCCTGGGGTTCTCTCTGTTGTTACTCCTCCCATGATGTCCTACAAGGAACCCCTGTCCCTACCCCTCTGCTGAAATGGAACTCTTAAAGGTCACCCGTGATTGCCTAATCACAGATCCAATGGCTGTTTCTCAGATTACGTTCCTGATGGCTCAGCAACATCTGACCCTATCGACTTCTACTCCTTGAAATGCTCTGTTGGCAGCACCCTCCCAAATGTGTCTGGTCTTTTCCTCTGCTCTCATCATTCCTATCCTATCGAGAGGCAGTCTGGAGAAGTGGTTAAGAGTGTGGGCTCTATGGGTTTGAATCCTGGCTCTAGTACTTGCTAACGGTGTGACTTGAGTGAGTTATTTAACCCCCCCAAGCCTCGATTTCTTCATCCGTAAAATGGGAAGAAGAGTAGCTAGGCCATAGGGCTGTCAGGAAGAAGTTAAATGAATGTGCCTGGTAAAGAGTAAACACTTAGTAAATGTCATCTTTGATCATTATAACTTCCTGTTTGGATACATTCCAAGGCTCCCTTGTATCTGCAGGATAAAACTGTAACTTTTACAGATGAGGAAACTGGACCCAGAGAGGCAAATGACTTGCCCAAGGTCAAGTTACTAGTTATAACTAGCTTACTTACTGCCCCCAACCTTTCCTAGTGTGTGCCCACTTCCAAGCCTTTATGCACTCCCCACTTGAGGACCATCTTCACTCCTTCCTGCCCTGCCCTTCCTTAGCTGGCCAGAGGAGGGAGAATGCTGAAGGCTGCGCCCGCCTGCCTCAAGGCCCTGAGCACTGGCTGTGTATAATGGAAGCCATCCTCCCTTGGGCACTGAGCCTCTCTCTCTCTGGCAAATTATAAATTACTTAAGGACACCAGCTGTGATTTATACTTTTTAAAAATATCCTTCTCAGCATTTAGCGCTATATGCATACTAGGAATTTAACTCCTGTCTTCTAGCTGCCAAAACATGATAGCTTTTCTTGGTCCTTCCAGAATCATTTTTCCTCCTAAACTGAAACTTGTATTGATCAGTCCTAAAGCCTGTGTAAGCTTTATTTGGGAAACTTGAGTCAACACTATAGGGAGAGTTAACTACCTCAGAACCTTTGGAATGAGGAGGGATATATAGAAATCACTAAAATAATGGGAGCACAGGGAGTAACTTAATTCTTTTTAAAAGGAGTTTGAAATTCTCCCAACCTGTGAAGCTGTTAGGATTTTATACAGTGTTTGGGACTTTTTTCTGTCCTGATGCCATCCCTTCCAAGCAAAATGAGTGCCAGTTGCACTACCACCCTCCACCCCAGCTGTGATAATCAAAAATGTCTCCAAATACTGTCAAATGTCCCCTAGGGTACACAAAATCATCCCCATTTGAGAACCACTGCTCTTTAGGATCAATCCAGAAAACTCAGTATGTTCCCAATTCACAGAATATCAGAATTTGGATAGTTTGAATCAAATGAAGATGAAAATGATAATAGACATGAAAGATAAACTTGGGTTTGAAATTACTAACATAGAGAAAATTTAGCATCTACAGATCTTTGGTACGTAACCCCATTGTAAGTTGAAAATGTTGTTAAGTGGAAAATGCATTTAATACATCTATCCTACCACCGGACATCTTACCATAGCTCACCTTAAACATGCTTAAAACACATTAACCTACAGTTGGGTAAGATCATCTAATGCAAAGCCTATTTTATAATAAAGTGTTGAATATCTCATGTAATTTATTGAATACTCCAGGTGAACAAAGTAATTGTTGTATGGGTACCGAATGGTTGTAAACGTGTTGGTTGTTTACCCTGGCGGTGTTGTGGCTGACTGGGAGCTGCCACTCACATATCACTGGCCTGGGAAAAGATCCAAATTCAAAATTCGAAGTATGGTTTCTACTGAATGCATACTGCTTTTGCACCATCATGAAATCAAAAGATTCATAGGTTGAACCATTACAGTTAGGGGACCCTCTTTATAAGCAGTTATGGATTGTATCATGAATAAGGAGAAGTAAACCAATAAACTAGTTACAGAAATTCAGACCATCATACTCCTAAAGGTCTTGGGTCTGAATACAACAATGCCAATGCAATACTCCAATCATCCTTAGAATATTTTTGTTGGAATTGTATTTAAGTGCCCAAATACTTTTCTGCTTTTGACAATAAGTATATTAAATCATAAAATAATGACTTCAATTACCACTGGAGGGAATTATATTTGACCTGAGGTAAGCTGGCTCTCCCTACCAGAGGCTGCTTCTGATCCCAAAGCCGCTCTGAGATAGCATGCTCAGGTGCTTCAGGGATGAAGTAGGAATGACAAGGTACTTTGTGCTTTGGTGAAGGGCTCAGCAGTCTTCGTGGTTGTTAGAAAATCTAGCTGTAGACTTCTGATTTAAAGCCCACCTCCAACTGACATTCACCATTACATTCTGTCTAAATGCAGTAGCACAGATTGCATGTCATCCCCAAAGGCCGAAAGTAACAGTTAAACGTACTACTTTCTGAAAAAAAAAAAAAAAAATTAAGGCTCCAACCTTGTGAGAGACCTGCTTTGGCCAAAGATCACCTTTGGCTCATAATTGCCTTTGAAAAGGGAAAGCATACAGACCTTCAAGATGATCACTGACCAATAGTCTAGAAACAGGCCTTGTCCAGTTTCTTGAATCTGGGAGGCAAGGTAGAATTACTCATTCCACAGACAACTGTGAACATCTTCTGTGTTCCAGATTTGTGCTAAGGAACTCCAGAGACCATGATGGACTGAATTGTGTCCCCCCCCCAAATGCATATGTTGAATCCCTAACCCCCAACATGACTAGAGATAGGGTCTTCAGAAGATACTTAAGGTTAAATGAGGTCATAAGGAGGGGATCCTAATCTAATAGTACTATGGCCTTCTAAGAAGAGGAAGAGAGGGGTGCCTGGCTGGCTCAGAAGAGCATACAACTCTTGATCTCAGGATCGTGAGTTCAAGCTCTATGTTGGGTGTAGAGATTACTAAAAAAAATAATAAATTTTTTAAAAAGAGGAAGAAGAGAATGAAAGAGAAGTCTTTCATTCTCTTCACCCTTTGAGGACACAGTAAGAAGGTGGCCATCTGCAAGCCAGGAAGAGGGTTCTGGCCAGAATCTGACCCTAACCTTGGATTTCTAGCCTCCAGAACTGTGAGAAAAAAAATTTCTGTTGTTTAAGCCATTCAGTATATGTATTTATTTTCACAGCCCTAGCTAACACATTCTGCATCCTCATTGTACAGATGAGGAAACTGGACCCAGAGAGGCAAATGACTTGCCCAAGGTCAAGTTACTAGTTAATGGCAGAACTAGAACTTAGAACCTAGTTTTCCTGACTAGTCTGTTGTACATTCCCCTTTCTGTACCACCTCAGGTCATATAGGCTCCTGTTCATTATCTCTAGAACCTGTGGCTCACCTCTTCTGTAAGTATCAGGGTCCTTATACCTGCCCTGTTTATCTCAGGATTGTTGTGAGGATTGATTAGATGGTAAAAAAAAGGCAATTTAAGTTTCTAAACAGAATATTTTACAGATGTAAGTATCACACTCAACTCAGATTTTGCCCGATTATCAGGAATCTATCTGCCTTTGAAAATTGTTTTATTTATTTATTTGTTTGTTTATTTATTTATTTATTTTTAAGATTTTTATTTATTAGAGAGAGAGAATGGTAGAGCATGAGAGGGAAGAAGGTCAGAGGGAGAAGCAGACTCCCTGCTGAGCAGGGAGCCCGATATGGGACTCGATCCTGGGACTCCAGGATCATGACCTGAGCCACTTAACCAACTGAGCCACCCGGGCACCCCAAAATTTTTTTTTTTAAACACCTGAAACTTAGCCTTAATTGCTGAAATGAGGTAGTTCTTGAAAGTGTAACCAGAAAGCTCTATAGTCTACAGACAAAAGTTATAAAGTCATTTCTAGTTGTAACCACATTGAGACTGTTACTTGTTATTCTCCTTTTCCAAAGGTAAAATTCTAAATTTTGAAAAGAAGCATCAGATTAAGGCATAAGAATTTCTAGAGTCTAGCCCCTATGTTGTTCCATCTACTAGAAGTGTAACCCTGGACAAGTCACTTCACTCTTCTGAGTCCTGGCATCCTTTCCTGTCAAACAATGGGGTTAGACTTTGTGGTTTAGGGATCCCAGAGTAATTACTCTGAACTGTGCAGTGCCTTATAACAGCAGGACAAAATAATTCACACAGTGATCTTGCTTTACAAATTATACTTCGGTTATAGTTGTTGGAAGAGTCAAGCATAGATGAATGGCATTTGGCAGGAGTACATCCGAAACCCTTAATTATACACTGTAGGCAGCTCTGTAGCTTGGTCTGTGTCAAAAGACACCACATTATCAAATGACACAGTGTAGAGAGTTTTTGCAACAGCTTGTTCATCTGTAGCATGATTGGCCTGTGTCAAGTAGCATCCACAGTCTGCGTTTGAAAATCTGAACACTCCTATATTTAGATTAAAGACCTCCTGTCCAGTTCCTTTGGAAATGAGTCCATTAAAATTGATGACACTCAGTGGGGAGTTTGGGGTTCATAGCTGGTGACACATATGGTTTATTTCCAGATATTTATGTAGTTAAATACTATACGAAGTGTAATGGTTTTCTTCCCCCTTCATCTGTTTTGCTTAACCCCCCACCCCGCACCCCTCTGGCAACCACCAGTTTGTTCTCTATATGAGTCTGTTCCTTTGTTTGTGTAAGTTATGTAAGTTTTAGCTGTAAGTTTTATTTTTTTAAAAGATTTTATTTATTTAACAGAGAGAGACAGCGAGAGAGGGAACATAAGCGGGGGGGAGGGGGAGAGGGAGAAGCAGGCTCCCCGCCGAGCAGGGAGCCCTATGTGGGGCTCAATCCCAGGACCCTGAGATCATGACCTGAGTTGAAGGCAGACACTGAGTGACTGAGCCACCCAGGCGCCCCTAGGTGTAAGTTTTATACACAGCTTTTGATGTATTTCTATTATAGAAGTAATACATAAAAAACACACATAAGTAATACATAAATTGGAAACACTTTTAGTAATAAAGGAAAAAATCATCTATAATCCTACTGTAGTTATTTACCTTTTGTGCCTATCCTTTGAGACATATGCATGATTTTTTAAGATTTTAGTTATGGTTACATACACATAACAAAATATACCATTTTAACCATCTTTAAGTGCAGAGTTAAGTGACCTCAAATACGTTCACATTGTTACGCTATCATCAATACCACCCATCTCCGGAACTGTTGTCATCTCACAAAACTAAAACTTTGAACCCATTAAACACAAAAATTCTTCTCTGGTACATCTCCACCCACACAATTTATGTTATTGATGTCGCAATTTCTTCTTTATACCATATTTTATATTTTAAGGTATTATACAGGCAGTTTAATAACTTGCTGAGGACAGCAAGGAGGCCTGTGTAAGGGGAGTGCTGTGATAAGGGGATAGGAGATAAAACTGGAAAGGGAGTTCGTAGGGCCTTGTATTCCATGGTGAGAATTTAGATTCTGTTTAAAGTTTGTTGAGACACCTTTGGATAGTTGAGGGCAGAGGAACGACATGATTTAATTTGTTTTGGAAGGTGTACTTGGTTGCTGTATGGATGTAGACAGCAGGGTAGGATAGGAAACAGGAGAGTAGTGAGGAGGCTATTTCGGTAACCCAGGTGAGAGAGGACAGTGACTTGGACCAGGGTCCTCTCAGTGGAAGGGGGGCAAGTCGTTGGATTCCAGATATATTTTGAAGATAGAGTCAGTAGGATTTGCCAATGGATTGGGTGTGGGGTAGGAGAGAAAGAGAGGAGCCAAGGTGGACATCAATGTTTTGGGCCTGAGCAACTGGAAGGAGGAAGTTGCCATTTTTTGAGGTAGAGATGGAGGAGGAGGAGATTTTTAGGTGGGGGGAAATGAAGAGTTGTGTTTCAGTGTTCATTGTTACAGTCCATTAGATGTCTAACTGAAGATGTCAGGTAAGCTGTTGGATATGCAAATCTGGATTTCAGGGGAAAGGATGGGGCTGGAGATGAAAATTTTGAAGACAGCCTGTGTGGATGACATTTTAAGCCATGAAATTGAGTGAGCTCACCTAGTCCCTGGCAGGGAGGATAGATGGCTAAGATAAAAGGTCTGAATAAAGAGCCCTGGGGCATGTGGACATTTAGAGGTCCAGAGGAGGGCAAGGACCTCGCAAAGAAAACTGAGAAAAAAAACATCCGGTGAGGAGAGAGAAAAACCAGATGGTATGGTCTCCTGAAAGTGGAGAGAGTGTTTCAAGCAGGAGGAATGAGTGATCAGTTGTGTCTGTGTCTAAGGTGGTTGAGGTTTATATTTAGCAATATGAAGATCATGGCTTGTAGTTGAAATGTGACTCCAGTCATCAGGGTCTTCCTTCTTTTTTTTCTTTGTTTACAGTCTTGAGGTTATTTATTTATTTATTTATTTTTACACTTACCATGCCATGAACTCATAAAGAATGGGATCCAAGTGCTTAGGATCCTTTCTGTTGGTTCTCACAAAGTGTATTTCTCTGGTTGGAGCAAGCTGGAACTTCAGTTGCACCCAAGTACCTTTCTGTTTGGCTTCCTTCTTTTTCTGATCATTTTCCTTCACACACTTCAGGAAACTATGTCGGTTCTTAGAGCACTTAATATGCTCAATACATATATTAATTCTCTTGGCAAGAATCTTGCCCTTAACTTGTTTGTTTATAACAATGCCGACTGCATGCTGGGTAACATTGTAGACTCTTCCAGTTTTGCCATGGTAATGTTTATGGTGCATTCCTTTTTGAACACTGCCCATTTCCTTGATGTCCACAATATCACCTTTCTTGTGCATTTGTGTATATGTGGCCAAAGGAGCAACTCCATGTTTTCTAAAAGGCCTAGAGAATGTATAGCGGGTACCTCTCCTCTCTTTGTGGTGCATTACTGGAAGATGATGGTTCCCACCAGTCTTCTTGCTAGAAAATCACTTCTCTCATTTCCTGACTGTGTCTTACCAGTTACCAGTTAGGTGAGAGAACGTTCCTTTCTAGTTGAATGTTAAATATCTCATCCTCCAGGAGACAGTCACCTAATTTTCTAAAGTCAGTTGACCCAAAACATATCCCCTCTTCTCTTGGGCCCTCCAAGAAAACCAGTGTGTTTTTTTGTGTTTTTTTGTTGTTTTTTTTTCTGGCTCAGCATACAGAACAGTCTTAGTTTGTTATGGACTCTAATCTGCACTCTAACAATTAAGAGTTCCCCTTACATTCATCAACCAACAATTATTTAACAAAATTCCAACAACATACTGTATTGTATTCATTGAGTGTTATTTGGGAGCTTGTTTGGAGGTTCTAGCAGGGCAGCGCAGCTACTCCTATACCCTTGACCGAAGAACAGTCTTCCTCTATTGGGGAAGGTGGTCCTCTTCGACCGAGCGCGCAGCTTTGGGAGGGACGCACATGGAGCAGTGAGGGAGGAAGGGGACACCCGCCTAGCCAGCCAGATCAGCCGCATCAACCCTGACGATTGATGGGGTGACAGATGTCGCAGCCAGATCACCCTCACATCCATCATTGAATGTTATTTGAGAAAGAAAATCCCACTCAGGAAGAGTTTACCAAGTCCCAGGCAGAAATGATTCCTCTGGGTGGGCAGGAAGAACTCACAAAAAGGAAGACAGGATCATGAGATGTGAGGGTAAGAAAGTATCATGGGGGGTTCCCAGGAAGGTGGGTCATTAGCTGGACCTGAAAGGGTAGAGAGGATTTGAACAGGTAGGGCAAAAGATAATCACATAAGATATTTGATATCATAGTCAAAGATGATGCTGACTGTGATTATATTTATACAGAAAGATTGGCCTGAAGGGATGGATTCACTGTCAGAAATAATTCACATTGAACCATGTACACATGAAACCCTATCATTTTGACCTGTGCTTGAGAAGCCTTTGGTATAAAGGTTCTGGGTTCCCTTTTAGAGGGATGTTGGTAGTATTTAGTGGTAGTGAGGTGCCTTAGAATTTGGAGATAAGATTGCTTTACTTTACCTGTTCAGTCCGTTCGTGTATGAGATACTGAAGATAAATCAAGACAGATAGGTCCCAGTCTTCAAAATCCACAAATGGCAGTGTGGTAGGCCCTACAATGCCAAAAGGTATCCACCTCAAATCCTGGGAACCTGTGAGTGTTGCCTTATGTGGAAAAAGAGCCTTTACAGATGTGGTTAAGTGAAGGATTTTGAAATGAGATCATTCTGGATTATCTATCGGTGGTTGGAAAAATACTATCACAAGTGTCCCCAGAGAGGCAGAGAGAGATTAGACACAGAGCAGAGGAGGACATGACAGTGTGACCACAAAGACAGATGAGAGTATTGTGGATTCAAGCCAAGGAACACCTGGAGTGACCAGAAGCTGGAAGAAGCAAGGAATGGATTCTCCTCCAGAGAGAAGCACAGCTGTACTGACACACTGATTTTGGACCTTTGGCCTCCAGAACTGTGAGAATGAATTTCTGTTCTTTTAAGCCACCAAGTTTGTGGTAATTTATTATAGCAGCCAGAGGAAATTCATACAGGTGGTATTAGTTATTAGGGGAATAAGCAAATTGTAAACGTGAATTTGGAAGAGCCCAGTACATTAGTCAAGGTGACCTGGTTTGTGGACTTAGGGAGGCCAGTTCAGAACATAAGTATAATGTAGCAAGTTTAGACTTAATTATTTAACACTTTATTTAGAGGAAAGCTATGTGGGTAGAACTGGGGCAGTTGGCCCCAGAACATAACAGAAGCCAGAGACCTAGAAACTTGTAGTGAATGCCGCAGACTTTCAGGCCTGAATTTTGTGGTGCCGGAGACAAATACCTTGCTGTGGTATGGGGAGGGTTACTAGGCTTCTTCATCGCCTGGATGGCATTCCCTCCTCTTTGCTTGCTGGGTGGTACTCTGCCTCCTTGCTTTGATTCCAAGCAGCTTACAGGCACTGATCAGCTTCCAGGTGTGCTGACTTGGCCCTGGTTGTGAACCTGAGTATTTTGGCTACTGCAAGAGAAGCTTTCTCTTTTTCTCACACACATGCAGATGAATACATTTATGGCCTAATTTTTATTTCTTGTGAGTTTGATTAGCATAATTTAGCTAATCATGCTTAGGCTAACTCAGCCTTGAGATCGACAAAACTAGAGGCCACATCCTGACACTTAGTAAATTTGCCAAGCTAAAGCCATACAATAAGACCTTTTGATGGGCAGCCTTTGGGTCTTCCAGATTCTATCTGCTGTTATCATTGAGCCCTCCATGCTACCTCAGGAGACATCATGCTTCTCCCACAGTTCAAAGTCTAGGAGACATTTTTTCTTGGCACTTATAATATGTATGGAGGTACCCTAAGGGGCTGCTAGGGGCTGGAGAGCCCTTCAGCGTTGTCCCTTTAGGAAGAACAACCTCAGCTCCTGTGTTAGTTTCCTAGGGCTGCTGTAACAAAGTACCACAAAGCTGGTGGCTTAAAAGAACAGAAATTTATTTTCTCACAGTTCCGGAGGCCACAAGCCTAAGATCTAGGTGTTGGCAGAGCCACACTCCCCCCAAAGCTTCCGGGGGAGAATCTCTCCTTGCCTCTTCTGGTGGCCCCAGGTGTTCCTTGGCTTGTGGCTGTCTCTGCCTTTATCTTCACACAGCCTTTTCCTCTGTGACTTCTCTTCTGTCTCTTATCAGGACACCTGTCATTGGACCAAGGGCTTACCCTAATCTAGTAGGATCTCATCTTAACTTATTTTACAAACTACTTCTAAATAAAGCCGCATCCTGAGTAGACATAAATTTGGGGGTGGGGAGCAGACACTGTTCAACCCACTACAGCTCCTAAAACTGGAAAAGATGCCAAGGCTTGACTGAGTCTTAGGTTATGCTAAATAAATATGAGTCAACTGCAGCAACAGACTAAGTAGGCCCCAATTTGTAAGTGCAGACTGTAAGATATCGTAAAGAAACTTGGTAATGACCAAGAGGCCACCCTATCTGGTGGCAGTAGTGATACACAATCATGTCTCCCGTTAAGATCCCTAAGAGCACCATTCTAAACTGGGCTCTCCTGCCCTGCTCTAATTGCGATCACTCCAGCAGTACTATTCTCTACAGATGGGGCTGGTTCCCACATCACCTACTGTTCTCTGCTGGTGTGGCCACCTGTCTCCTGGCCCAGGACCCTCACAGCTTTGTAGCTTTCCATGGGATAGGTTTTTCTTTTAGTGCTGCCCCACCCATAATCACTCTACTTACCACTCAAGTTATGATAGCATTTGTGTACTAAGCTCAAAAGGTCACAGGAAGACACACCTCCATAGTATTTTTTGGCCATACCATTGACTATGGACAAGTCATTGTCCCATCTTTAGTTGGGTTAGCCTGTGATGCGCTCCAGTATTGGTTTCTTTCTGATCCTTCTCAATAAGAGGATAATGTGTTTTATGTCAGAATATTACATTCCAGGTTCCCAAATTTCCTTTTTATTCCTCATTCATTCTTTTGAGACCCTGGGAGTCACATTATACAAATTAACTGCCTCTACCACCTTGCACCGTGCCTAGGCTCACTAAAGATGATGTTCCAGCCATATTGGAGCAAAACATCTGAAACCAGTGAAAAGGGAATAGAGTTACCATGCTCCCAATGTGCTGTGGCTTCTTGTGGTGGAGTTAGATGGAGTTGGATTCCAATTCTAGGTCAGCCACTCACTGACAGTATAGACTGAGGCAAGCTTCTTAACCTCTCTGAACATAAGTTCCATAAATATCTGTGAATTGGGCCTAAAACTCTTTACTTTGCAGAGTTATTATGAAAAATTATTGGGATGGGGAATGTAGGTGAACACTTCTAGCACCTAATCAGTTGTACGGTCACCACTCCATAGATCAGCTGACTGTGGTCATGAGCAGGATCCATGGCACAGCTGAGAAAAAGGGGCTGGCAGCATCACATGGATTCAAGAACATGTCCCTGGTGCCACGTGACTATAATAATGTCTCTCCCAACAGTGTTTTTTCTCTAGATTTGTCCCCATTTTCCTGCCCTTTCTCTCACCTCAAAGGAAGAATTGTTCTTCTTTTTCAAAACTAATAATCTTTGTATTTGTGATTGCATCCCTTCCCAACTCTTTTACGTACTTCATCTCTTGATCTCTGTTAGCTGTAGTCTCTCAACAGATTTTACGTTGTGCCTTTTCTTAAAAACACTCTTCCTTCAATGCTGCAGCCCACTCAGGATAACATAGTCTGTTTCCTTTAGCTGTCAACTTCTTGAACACTTCTAAAATTTATTCATAAATGTCTATTATGCATGACCATGTGCTGGGTACAATGACAGACAATGGGCAGCCATCAGGGCTGTCAGCAAAGGATACTACTACCAGTTCTCCTGCCCCCTGGTCTCAAGCAAGATAGGGACCAAGTCGTCAGCAACTTGTCCTCTGGCCTTTCTCAGCTCTCTGCCCTCATGTGGGGCCATCAGTCCCTGTTCTGTCCTTACCCGCTTAGTTTCAGGTTTTTTTGAACAGACCCAAGTTCTCTCCCACCACAAGGAGGGAACACACTTCACCTACTTAATTCCTGTGCTTCCTTTTGATCCTAGTTCAAACATTATTTCCTCAGGGAAACTTTCCTTTCATGCCCCCTCCTCCACCCCATTTACGACAGATTCATCTTTTACATTCTTATAGACTCATCATTCCTTTTGTTTAGAACACTTAACTCAGTTTCTAATTTTGCATTTATGAGTATAATTACTTCACTGTCTTTTCCACTCTACCCTAAGCTCCGTGGGAGCCTGGACCATGACTGTTTTTACTACTCATTCTATGCACAGCTCCTAGCATAGTGTCTGTCTGGAGGTAGGCCATCGTTCAGTCATAGAAGGAACAGGAGAGTGTCTTCCAGGAACTGGTCAGGTAGAGAGAAGGAAATAATGTATTCTAGTACTTCAAGCAGAGTATTATAATGGAGTTAAACCCTGTACGTCCGGGGAACAGGGAATAGCAGCAATTAGCTCACAGGGGTGGGGGTACAGATGTGAAGTAATCAGCAAACACCTCTGAAAAAATGAGTAAGCATTAGATATGCAAATGAGGAAGAAAATGGCCTTGTGGCAGAGGGGAGGGCTTATGCAAAACTGTGAAAGAACATCATGAGTTGAGGGAACTGAGTTTGGTAGACTGGAGAGAAGTGAGCATGTGGAGACATAGCAAGACACGTGAGGCACGACAATAGGACAGAAAATGGAGGGCCTTGCCTATGTCGTGTGGAATTTGAACCTGTGTGGGAAAAGCCAGAGGTGAGTTTAAAGTAGGAAAATAGTATGACAGATTTGCATTTTTAAAAAAACTTCTTTTGACAACTGGAACTCTCAGACATAACTGGTGGAATTATAAAATGGTATAACCACGTTGGAAAGCCGTTTGGCAGCTTCTTACAAAGTTCAGCATACACCTACCCTACAAACTGGCAATTCTACTCCTAGATATTTACCTAAAATTAAAAATATGTATTCAAAAATGACTTCTACAAAAATG